GAGTTGGTGTTTTTTCAATGTATGCTTCAGACACGGGTCACGACGATGCGTTCCCCCATAGCGACCCCTAGAGGATGCAGTGTCTCATTCCCTACTCGGGGAACCATGGTTACATAAGTAACCTGAGACGTTCTTTCTCATTGGTTTGATCATTCTACCTTTCATTTTCCTTTCTTAACAATTCTTGTTTCTCACCACCTTCTGTTTTTCTCTTTCCAATCTTCCAACACTGCTAGTGCTTCCAATGTCTTTCTACGTACACATTCCCTCTTTTTACATTCTGATCATTCTTCTTATTCTTCTGATTCTTCTGCAACTTTCTTTCTTCTTCTAAATTGATGCTGACTCATCATGAGATTAAAGGCCATTCCTGGCCATTGCAATATAATATATTATACGTTTGTTATAATATGAATTATATTACATTAAAAATAATATAAATTAAAATACTTGTATTACTGGTCTCTGGAGGGCCTCCTGAGCAACTTGTTCAGATTTCACTGATCTTTTTGAAGATACACTTTTGATTTGGCCCTGTGGCTACAGCAGTCCTCGCATGTGCATTGTGTGCACAGCAGCAAGCCAAACTGGAAACCAGTTACAGGTTTTGCTGCTGTGAACATTCAATGAACTGCAAGCACTTACTGAAAGCCTAGGTTGAATCATTGCTCAATCTGAAGATTTTTGTGACTACAATGTGGAATTGGACACCATTTTCTTTTGTTTATGAGCTGAGATGTCACTAAGTGCATTTTGCTGAGAATCTAGTTGAGTGTGAGAAAGTTTGGGGGTTGGGCAAACCCAGAGGAAATGCAAATGCAAAGTACACATGTTGTTTTAGATTTGATGGTCTCTTCATGTTTGTTTGTCTGCTTAAAGACAAAGACTGAGAATAATACTACTGTGTAGTAAGTTTTGCAAAGCTTAAAATAAAACCAAACTATAAGCTGTATTTGTTAAGGCTGAACTTTGTACAGTGTTGTTGAGCCAAATATTATGACATCAGAGATTTTACTACTATTGAGTGATTTTCAATACATTTAATGTGATTAATTTGACTGTTTGACTAATTCTCCCTCAGGAGAAGTTGTGGATGTCCTCTGAATGGATTTAACCCTTAGGCTACAAGCCTCTCAGTAGCATCAAAATGATCATTATGTGCATTACAGTTTTAGTTTTCGAATTTCTAATGTCTCCTCTTTTGTTCACAGTCACTGGGACTTCTGCATGGCAGCAGTGGTTCTCTGGGATTGACAACAATTTTGCCAGATTAGAGTTTTTCTTTTGAGATTCTCTCATTTTTAATTTCATTGTACTGTCTTGCCCAACTTCACTTTCACATACAAAATATTCTAGTGAGAATTTAATTATCTTTTTAGTTTATCCAAACATAATTTATCTTAACTTCTTTGCACATGAATGTTTGCTTTTCAAATATTGCAAAGTTATCGTTGTAAAGCCAATAAACAATATTGACAGAAAATTATTAATATCTGAATTTAGGTTGCAATTTACAGCCCTCTGTTGAGTACCAGAATACAATTTTGGATGATGTTATTCCAATTTAAATTTTAGTTCAAGATATTTCATTCCTCATCTAATCTGCCGCTATCTTGTCCCAGTCAATTCATGTGGTTTTGTCTAATTCTTAAGCCCCACTGGATTCTGCGGTCTCCGGTCTAATGATGAGTATTTCCGACTCATTCTATAAAAGTATGTCTATATGGGGTGCGTCTAAGCTTTCCCTCAACACTTCTAAAAAGGCAAATAAGAATTGACTTACCGCAGCAGCTGGAGAAAAAGGAAGGAGAAGCTCAAACCTCTTTCCGGAGCACATTTGAATGTTGCGCTGAAAAGCCCCTCGCCTACAGGAGATGGGAGATCACGGAGGGATGGTCAACAACTGTAAGGATCCACCCGCCAAACCCAAAAAGCGGAATCCAGCGGCCTGGTTTAAGGTTTAATGCGTATTCGGTCTTTTACTTGCGCTTCTGAATTTATCAGAACTTAGTTTCAATTATTCGTTCATCAGGGACCCAATGCCGCTCAGAGATACGCGCCCCGGGTTTGCGGTAAACTCACGGATGCAAACTAGCCATTCTGATCTTAGTCAGAGGGTGTAATAAGTTAACTAATACATTTTTGTCGGTTGCCTACTGCTCACTCACACAAAAAGTGTACTTGATTTAGCCACTTCCATACATCTTGCTAAATCAGTGATAGACAGAAATCAAAAGGTCTTCGGATGAAGGGCCTACTGCTCCTTTCATTCACGCGCCTCCAGTTTGTACTATCCTGGACACAGATTTATGGTAGCATTAGCATCCTATGATTTACCGGTCATAATTAATTCAGGAGAAGTTAAGAATAAATCAAATATAACAATTTATTATTAGTCAGGTAAAATTGTATCATGCCAATTACATAATGAAACAATTAGAAGCCAATTTAGAAAGGATAATGCAATTGTGAAACATATTGTATCCGCGTGGCAACAACTACATTTCCCAGACACCCCGTACCTGGGGCTGATTACGGCACAGGTGTTCCCCCTTAGCTTCCCTATTTAAACAGCTCTCAGACACGCTAATAAAAGCTGCAAATGGATCCGCACGCCTCTGACTCAGCGTTACATATACAGTGTGCTCTATGGGCACAATATGTTTAACACAATTACATTTTTGAATCTTACCTGACAACAGAGAGACACACAGCAGTGAGAGTTCTGGTGCAGAGCTCCAGAGATCTTTCTCATAATATAAATGACTACTGTGAAATTGAATCCAATTTACCAATCGCACAAAGACCTTTAAAATGACACCAAACATGAAAAGTTTACGATCATGAATCCTGAAGATATAGTAAATGTTTTATGTGAGCATAGCAACTTTTTGTTCTTGGCATTTCTCTGTCAACTTTTAGTGACCTGGACCATGTGCCCAAGGGGGAAGGATGGGTGAAGGGACTGAAGAGCAGATGGTCTTTCTTCCAGATCTTCCTATCTTGATCAAAGCCCATTGTTTCTGAGTGTTTGGCTTTACGAGGAGATCAAAGCCCATTGTTTTGTGGCATGGCATTTGCATTGCGAGAGTGTTTGGCTTCACAAATAATTTATTTTATAGGGAAATAATTTCACTCCTTTCATAGCCTAGACCCAAATTCACCGTCTATTAGACATATGTATGTAGTTGGTTAATAGCTGTCTAATTGATGACTAGGCTATTCTTGGGCTATGATTAGACGTCTATTAAATTTTCACTGACAGCCCAAATTTAGCCTTGTTTTAGCCTAGACGTCTGGGCTGTGTTTAGATGGCTAATAGACGTCTTTTAAACGCAAAATTGCTTGCTGGGGAGCGTCGTTGATTATAAATGTGAGATCACGATGAGCTAAGATGAGTGACAGCTTTTAATAATTTTTAAGGGAGTTTGTAAATGATTTAATACAACAGTTCAATAGACAAGAAGTTAATATTAAAGGGGTCATATGATGCTATTTTAAAGATCATCATTTTGTGTATTTGGTGTAACAGAATATGTTGACATGCTTTAATGTTCAAAAAACACATTATTTTTCAAATAATGTACATTATTGTAGGTCCTCTATGCCCCACCTCTCTCAAACACGTCGTTTTCAACAAAGTCCCTCCTTTGACAAGCGCAGTCTGCTCTGATTGGCCAGCTGACCCAGTGCATTGTGATTGGCCGAACATCACAAGCACGCATCGGAAATGTAACGCCCCTTACCATAATCGCGAGCTTTAGCTTTCAAAGTAAATATCAAGACAGTTAATAATGTCATTAGTTTTACCATCAGTTCAAGCCCGAAAGGGCAACAAAGTCGCGTGACAGACACAGTGATGATGCAGTACACAAGCCGCGGTTAAAACAGCTGACGTGCTATGATTTCTGACAGGCAGTTCACTCTCCTGTGATGTGACCCTGTTCCCCTCACTGAGAAAATTAAGTCGTTATAACGAGAAAACAACTTTTGTTATGTCGAGATAACGAGAAAATTAAGTCGTTATAACAAGAAAACAACTTTTGTTATGTCGAGATAACGAGAAAATTAAGTCGTTATAACGAGAAAACGAGAAGAAAAAAAATAACATTGCATGGCCGCTTAGAACTTCCGTACTCATGCCATCTCTGATCCTCATTAAATGCCTGAAAATACACATAACAAGTCACTTGTGTGTTCCCTTTCAGGCGGTCACTCTCAACGTCACGTCGGAGAACCGACGAATTGGGATCTCGCTTAGAGGGACCAATCTACTTCGAGTGTAAACTAAACGAGCCAATGCACATTGGCATGCGATTATTGCATCCAGCTGCTGCTGATCACAGCGTGAGTATAAGTAGGCAGCAGATGCAGCAAATATTCAGCTTTTCGCTTTGGAGCTGAGCAATCACATTGTTCTGCTCCTGACTACTCTACTGAGAGAAGAAGACTGAACGAGTTCAGCGTGCTCTTGGAGAGCTCTTCGTGTTGGCGGATGGCGCTTCAGCGGTGGTGGTTTCCCGTGTTGAGTGGGTTGCACACATCAGGCTGCACTACCCCCTGTTTGTGTTGCAGATGATCATCTCCCCTGTGCGCCTCAGCACGCTAAAAGAGCTTTTTCCCCTAAAAGAGCAATTTCGGGTGCATCTTTTTAAAGACGACGTTGCGTGGCAAACTTGACGTTACGTCTTTATAAAGACGATGTGGGTCTTGCTATAGACAACGTATCACCCGGGCGTTTTTGGATGCGGTCGTTGCCTGGCGCTGGGTGATGGTCACGTTCGCTGCCTCTCGTGCCTGGGCATGAAGCACGCTGAGGTGGCTTTCGTGGTTGACTCATGCTCTCATTGCGGGGGTATGACCATCTCGGAGTTGCGGACCGGAGGGTGAGCTAGAGCTTTCTGGAGAGGAAGATTCGGCTGCGCTGCTCTCCTCCGGGACCGTAGCAATGCCTGAATCAGATCCAGAAATAATGGCTATGCTTTCCCGGGCCGCCGTAGGGGTAGGGCTCGAGTGAAGACTTTCACCGTGTCCCGAGCCCTCAAGGTTGCACGATTGGTTCTCAGCGCCCCGCCTCGGTGCCTTATTTCGGGTGCATCGGTCTAAAGGTACTCGACTGGCCAGCGATGCCTATACGACCTGTGGAGAAACTGCCTCCGCCTTACACGCTACGGCGTGATTGCAAGTGCACCAGGCCAAGGCACTGAGAGACTTGCAGGAGGGTGGTCACAACACGGAAGTTTGCAGAGAACTCCGCACCGAGGCGGACCTCAGGCCATGAGCGATGAAGGTTACGGCGCGGTCTCTGGGTCGTGATGCCACTAGCGCAGTGTCTGGGAGCCTGGCTTGAGCTACCCAGTCCGTCTCGATGGCTCCTTCGAACCGTTAGGCTCGGCTATGTGATTCAGTCGCCCGGCGTCCCCCCAAGTTCAGTGGCATCCACTTCACAACAGTGAAGGCG